GAATATTTTTAAAATTGTTTAAATTTGATTTCGTGTTTTTGAATCAGAGGTTGGTGTGTCAGAATATCCAACTATGTTATTCACCGGATTATCCTGTTCGTTTTGTCTGGAATTTGGAATCGAATTCTTGGGGGTTATTTTTAAACTTACTCTGAAGCAGAAGTCGAGGCAATTCAACAAACACATGGAAGGCTTTACGAATTTCACTTTCAGTCAAAGACACCATACACTCAGTCAGCTCATCCCAACCACCCTTAACATTGTAAGCAACCAACGACACAATTCTTCCAACCATTTTCATTTCCGATACTGTGGTTTGTTGCATCTTCAAGCAGGTAATCAAAACGGGTTTGATTTCGTCGACTTCGATGGGAGAAAACTCGATTTTGTTGATTCGAAATTCTTCTAGTGTTGAACAAAGTAGACGTATTGATTGGAATCTGACTGGAGTGGAGGAAGAAGATTTATACACTTTGAGAAGCTGAGTGGGAAATTCAAAGCACAAAACTTAAATACAGAAACAGCCGATTGGAACTCGTTTGCTTCTAGTGGGTTAGCAAGCTGATTGAGAAGAATCTCGAATCTTTTAAGGTCTGAAGTCTCCAGAAGATCTCGCCACTGTTGGAGTTTTTTCAACACAAAACGAAATGAGTAACAGATGCTAAACAGAAATTTGTCACTGAAATCGCTAAACAAATTACATTTCTTCGCATCCATCTCGTTCGCTTCTGCTCTGTTTCACCGTCTTTGAGAAAGTTACCAGAGTCAACTTACTTCGCCGCCGCAATTGGGATGTTAGTTTCTAATTCGGCAGGCTTTAGGATTGAATGAACTCAAATAATAAGAAAATTGAACTCTAGAAATTCAGATAGAAAGAGAACAATAAGAATTATTAACATATTTTCGAAAAATACATGAAAGATTTTGAAAACTAAATTGTTCCTATATTCATAAATTGATAAATATGTGATTTTTTGAATTTCAAGGTTAACTCCGTATCTCAAGTAAATTTTTCTTGATAAATATTTATTTATGGATTAATTAACAACTCATTAAATTTTGAGGAAATTTACAAAAGTAATACCAAAATTTTGTGTATTTTGAAAACTAACTCACGTTTGAAAAATAATGTTTTCATTTGAATTTATTAAAATATTCTAAATAAATCGAATATACAAAATGCTTTTAAATCAAGTTGTTATATCATCCCTTATATATTAATTGAGAAGTAATTTGTGAGAGATTGATTATGTGAAATCTCCACAATTACTCTCCCAAAAAAAATTAGACATACCTAAACAAAAAATGTGACATGGCAAATTTAAATAGGAATTTTTTATATTAAATTCAAATTAATTAATCATTTAGAAAATTTTTCCATAAATAAATAAATGATAAATTTCAAAAAATGCCACTTTCCAAATGCCACACTTTTGAAATCTTTACAAAAATAAAACTTTTTCAAAATTATTTTTCTTTATATTATTTATGTTTGGCTTAATTATGTTTTACTAGGGTTTAGGGGGGGTTTAGAGGTCAAAATATTTTTTAGTGTTTAGAATTTTAAGATATATGATCTAAAAATATATAATTAGTGGCATTTTTACAAATGTGCACATAAAAGTGGTATTTTTGCAATTTTCTCTAAATAAATTTACCTTTATTTCTTTAAGTAAATTGACAACATTTTATTTTAATTTTTGTTTTTCAGATTAAAGTTTGTTATAATAATTTTTGTCACAAATAAAGTTTGAGGGCATAAATATTTTTATCTTTATAAGAAAGATTTACCAAATTTTTTAAAAGATATTGTATTATGTTTATTGATAGAATATTCCAAAATTTATAAAATCCATGTATATATATATATATTTTTCCTACATAAACGTTTTTAAACATTCAAATATTTGAAAATGAACAAATATGAGTTCAAGATAATGAATTTCTAAAAAAAAAAATTCAAAAATCAATTTAACAATGACATATTATATTTAATGTTAATAAAAAACACTATGAAAAAATTCAATATGAAATAAAAAAAATTTGCTGAGTGAGTGAAATTGAATCTAAAAATTCAAAATCATTTAGAAAATCTTTCCATAAATATATTTACCTTTATTTCTTTAAGTAGATTTACACCATTTTATTCTCATTTTCGTTTTTCAGATTAAAGTTTGTAATAATTATTTTTGTCACAAATTAAATTTTAGGACATAAATATTTTTATAAGAACGATTTACCAAATTTTTTAAAAGATATTGTATTATGTTTTGTGACATAATATTTCAAAATTTATAAACATATATTACGTTTTTAAACATAAACATATTTAGAAATGAAAAAATATGAGTTATAGATAATAAAAAGTGACATCAAAAATGGCATTTTTCAAAAAAAAAAATTCTTCAAAAATAATTTAACAATGATATTTATATTTAATGTTAATAAAAAACACTATAAAAAATTCAATATGAAATAAAAAAATTTGTTGAGTGAGTGAAATTGATCTCTAAATCTAATATTTTCTTAATTATCCCATAGAATTCTTTGTAAAGAAAATTATATATTTTTAAAAAAGATGATCAAAGGGTTTAGTGTTTTATGAGAGGAATCTCCATTTTTTATAATAAATTAGGCACTTTC